CCTTTCATGCTCTGGTATCTAGTGACTGGTACCCCCGGTCCCCGGTCTGCCCTCAGGATGCTCCTCCCCACCACGGGCCAGCTGGGTTTTGTCTTTTTTTCTGCTGCTCAGAGCCCCCCACGTGGGCCAAGCTAGCACCTCAGGGCCTTGTGGCCGGAGGGAACCTGCAGGAGATCTCCCCACACTGCTTGGTGCCCTTTGCTGGGTTTTTACCTTCTCCCAACTCATGGTGTGCCTGAGAGTCAGCGCCCTTGGGCGGAAGAAAAAACCAAGGCTCAGAGTGGACCCACGGCTGTGGAGCCAGGGCCTCTGATTCCCAGACCACCTTGCCCTCTCTCTATGGAAATGCTTTCCAGACCAGTAAATTCTTAGCAGTCACCCTACTCTGTTTTTAAAGAGTGTTCTGATGCCCAGAAAAGCAATAGGAAAGAGGTTACTTCAGGACAAAGAATAGTTCTTCCCCAGGAGGGTGAGTGGCAGCTTTGCCCAAGCACGCACGCACGCACACACACACACACACACGCACGCACGCACGCACTCCCTCCCCCGTTCTGGGCCCACGGGCCCTCCAGGCGGTCTGGTTTCTGGGGGACACAGAACGTGGCCCCGCTGCTGGGTGACCCCGCTGAGGAAGTGCTCTCTCCTCAGGGACCCCGAGTTTGTCTTCTATGACCAGCTGAAGCAGGTGATGAATGCCTACAGGTGAGCTGCCCTGGGTCACTGCCCGTGGCGTGCGGTCCAGGGACACGGAGGCAGCCCGCACCCTCCCCTGACCCCGCCGACGCCCCGGTCTCCCTCAGGGTCAAGCCAGCCATCTTCGACCTGCTGTTGGCCGTCTGCATCGGCGCCTACCTCGGGATGGCCTACACGGCGGTCCAGGTGAGCCTGGGGAGGGCCGGGAGGGGGCTCACCCAGCCAGGTGCGTGCTCACCCCCACCCTGCCTAGCAGGACGTGACCCCCAGGCAGCCCTTGGGCCCAGCTCTCACTCACGCCCCTCACGCCGCCCCTATAGCACTTCGACCTCCTGTACAGAACCGTTCAGAGACTGCTCGTGAAGGCCAAGACGCAGTGACGCCCCCGCCTGCCACCCCTCCCCACGCCACAGCCGGCCGGCACCCCGAATTACAGAGCTTTTCCGTGTTGCTCTTGAGGACTTGGGGGGTTCTTTCTCTTTTCTGTCCCGTGAACTCTATGGCAGGAGCATTTGGTAGAGGCCCCGGGGCCAGGCCCTGGACTTGGGGACAAGTCTGCGGACGAGCCCCCCGCCCCAGAGGCGGTCCCCCAGCCCTCAGGGTTCACGGGCTGCAGGATGACCAGAAAGGCGCCCGGCACGTCCCTCCTCTTGCCCGCGACGCTGACCGGCGACTGTAGGCTGAGGGGCAGGGGGCCGCCCCTCTCTGGCCCTGTCTGGCCTCACGCCGCCCCATCCGCCTGGTGATGTGGGTGCTCAGCCTCTTGTCTGCCGGGCAGCACCAGCCCATCCCTCAGAGACTGGGTCCCCCCGCCCTGGCCTCTCGCCTCGGGTGTGGCCTTGGAACACGTGTCCCCCGAGCCCCTGGCTTGTCACAGCCTCTGCCCTCCCGCCGTGCCCGGGGCACTTGAGCCCGTCCCTTGGGGACCCGGCTGCCCCGACGCCCCTGGGGCGGGAGACAGGCGTGGAGAGAGGAGGCACCCTAGCCCTCTGCCCCTTCCCTTGGGCTCTCTGGGCCTCGGTCTCCTCACCCGTGGAGTGGAGGCTGTGTTCTGGGGGCAGCCGGTGCCCCCGTGTCTGAGGACGGCATCCAGGCTGGGGATCGAGGGGAGCGTTTGCTGGAGAAGACGTGGCTGTGGGGCCCATGGGGCTGCTGCCCTTCCCGGACCTGGGACCTGGAGAGGAAGGTCTGGGCCTGAACCCCACAAATCAGGCTCCTTGTAAGGGAAGGGTGTGGAGGGGCCCTCCGGTGCTGCTGAGATTGATCTCAGGGAGACCCAGGCGAACCGGTTCATTAGCAATAGAATCAGTGAGGTGTTCTGTGCCGAGGGGAGAGTCAGGATGAGGGAGGCTCTGGACACCTGCCTCGGCCCCCAGGGAGGCCTTAACGGAGGGTCTGGAGAGCAGGGGGACCGCTCCCTCCCACATGCCCCCCCCCCCAGCCAGCCCTCCCCAGAAGCCAGCTCACCACCCACTGCAGGGACGGGCTCCCAGG